ACACACATCCCACCACCACCAACAACACCATCCCTTACCCTCTTTCTCCTTCTCCACCGCCGCCACCACGGTATTATCCTGCTCCTGATGCTGGAAGTTTTGCTGCTGCTGTTGCTGCTGCTGATCATGCTGCTGCTCAGCGTGCTGCTGATGTAGTTGCTGCTGCTGCTGCTGCCTCTCCTCCTCTTCCTGCTGCTGCTGTAGCAGATACTGCTGATCCAGCTCTTGCTGTTGCCTCTGTCTCTCAGCCTCTGTGATGTCGATGGACTCCTCGCTAGCTACAGGCACGTCCATGCCCAAGGGAGGGGGTGGGGGCGGTATGCTGTTCACACTGTCGCTGTCCGCGTGCTTCAGCTCTAGGCTCTCCTCGGGGTCCTGGGGCACCCCGTGTTGGTGATTGAGCTGGGGGTGGTGGTCCTCGACTGGCGACTCCATCACTCACCGCGAACAGGGAAAAGAGTTGGGACTTTGGGTTGTTTTTTTCTAACGCTGTGGTATCCGTGAAATCAGACAAGCGATTTCGTCCAAACTATGGTATCCGTGAAATAAGACAAGAGATCCCGTTACCACTATGGTATCCGTGGAGATGGATATAGCACAAATATAGCTACTGGGGCTATCGCCAAATGCGCACGTGGTGTAAGTTGTAAAAGCTAGCTTAAAATTCTTCTACTTTCACTTTCACTTTTGTGAATGGTAGAAAAGCGTGTCGACAATCCAAGATAAAATTGACGTACACACAAAGGGGGAGGTACCATCCGTCTTTTGGGAATCAGAAAACTACATCAAATTACTACGTTCACTATGAGTAACAGGTTTTGAGAATGTTTTTTAATCCACCAGGTAAGTTTCGACGCGCGCAAGAAGAAAGATATCCGTATCAATTTTTACAAGAAACTACCTTTTTATAATCCGACTTGAATAAACAGAAAAACAACACTGTTCCAAATTCAGATTCTTCCTATTCCCAGAACTCACATTGTCAGTCTCTCCCTCTCTCTGTCTCTCCCTCTCTCTCTCTGTCTCTCTCTCTGTCTCTCCCTCTCTCTCTCTGTCTCTCCCTCTCTCTCTCTGTCTCTCTCTCTCTCACTGTTTGACAATACACACACTGGGTCAATTATAATAATATACTAAAACCAGGAAGCAAATTTTGACCAATCAAAACCTCAGACTCCACCAATCACAGTCACAACCTAGATAACTAGCCGGGAGAAATGAGATCAGGAATGAAGCGTGTTCTAAAACACTCGAGCACCATGACGAACTTACCGAGTTATTGCAAAAAGCCAAAAAAACATCTTTTTTTTAAAAATGGTGTCACAACGCGGTGGAATCAGGCTCTGGTCTTCACTTTTTGAACTTGTAAAGTTATTGGCATCATTTTAAAACTTGTTAATTTAGCCTTGCTTTTGGTGAAAAAAATACTCATGTATCTTGAATAGAAGTCGAGATATTTGTGATTGAAGGTCGCCTGGTTTCAGTGGTGACATTAGCGAGAAAATGACCGCCAAAGTTTGTCGACTTCCAAAACTTGTGAGTCCTTAGAAACTGCAAATTTACATTTTTGAGCCTTAAATAAAAATTTCTCTGTAAAATCCACACACATGTGTTTTAAAATGGACTTTAAATGTGTTGAGTAAAATTTTTAAAATATAAAATTCGATAATATCCCAACGACCAGAAAAATGCCGGTTTCTTTAATAATTTCATTATTTTGACGAGCACCTGATTTCACCACGAGGCCTCACTGATGTGCTTACACCACGCCAGAATTTACGGACCAACCAATTGTCAAGCGGTAACCGTTGGAATAGCTGCACACCAGAACTGACTTCCCCTCCACTTACATTTGAGCACTTGAACTCACGGCGTCCACACGATCTGTTTGTGTGAGTCACACCACGGTCATGTTTATAGCCGGCGGGTTGAGAG